AAATTATACATCAAATGAAAGCTTATTCTATAAGCTTTCTTTGTTTTTAGAAACATTTTTCTGTATAATTTACAGAAAGTTCCCAAAAATCCACCAGAACGACGTATACTCAAAAATAGCAAAAAACCTTGTTACACTGCAAAACAATCCGGTATTCAAGGGTTTGCACTACAAAAGAATACGGTATCCAGAGGGTTAAAAGGCTTTGGAAGTAGAGATGTGTTTAAGTCATAAGAAAAAATCCTGTGCTTACAACCCAGGGATTGGCATGCTAGCATCTATCTCTGCTACATCAATAATATATAAGTTGTAAATCTAAACCTCGAGAAACATCATTAACTATGTTTTAATGTATTAAACAAATAAGAAAACTTGCAATTAATTAAATAAGATCACACTTTCAGTTAAATCACTTTACTCGACTACTACTACAGTACTACTACTTTGTGTGCAAATCGCTTTTTGAGTAATTCGTAATTGTCAACACAAAGTATGCTTTGCTAAATATAGTTTTGAAAACCTTTTCAAATATCTTTTAGTCTAGTTCCTCAAAGACATCCCAGTAAATTTTTTAATTATAACTTATTTCTTAAGATTAGACTTTCATAAGTACAATACAAAATGTCATTGTCGCCTTATAATTTTCAATTTAGAACACCATATACCTTAGTTTTTCTTATATTCTCATAAAGTAACTACGGGAATATTTGAGAAGGTGGTTCATTTTTGAAGAAATACTGATTATATCTTATCTTATATTCCAATATGTTTATAATTTTACCACGCATAGCTGATTATCCTAGTACAGTGTACAACTATGTGTCTTTGGCCCTGCGCCTATAAACGCTCTATGCAGCCTGACACACCTGTCTGGTGGATATTACACAAAGTAAGTAAACTGAAATGGACATGGTTTCAGGTGACATGCCTTCTCCCCATGAATTGCCAGAAGACATGAATCGTGATTTCATTTTTGATTTGTGTTTATCTGGATGATCATAATGTTCTTACTCATTGTAGACTGCTCGTAAGAAAATCTTAAATGCAAATTTTAGACTATAGAATGAATGCCATTAAGCATTCATTCTTTGTGTTGACAATGACGTAACTCAAAAAGCGATTTGCACACAAAGTTCACAATTATCAACATTTTCACAAGTGTACAAACAGTAACCCCTCCCTCCGCTCTGTAAGTATACATAAAAAATGTTGATTTTGCAAAATCATTCTCCATTTCTTTGTGAAGTCAACTAAAACAATGTACTTGGTTGCTTAAAAATGAATAAATATCCATGGTTACATTATAATTTTACCATTATTTTACATATTGCATGATATTTTGAATCAACATATTTATGCATGTGAAAGTGTACAAGTTTGTCTACCCCTCCCCACTAGTACACTTGCAAAAATGTTGAACGATCCTTAATTCTTTTTTATATTTTCTTCCCATGCATAATTTAGACATAAACACACATTTAAATGATCTAATGTAAGTACAGACAATTTTTACTTTTGTTGCAAAAAACAGTAAAATTAAAAACTAGATTATAATTTATTATAAAAAGTTGCCTGGGAGCCGTGGTGGCACCGGGGGGAGGGGGGAAGCGTAGTCCCACCGTCGGGCAAAGGATAGATTTTAACGGGAATGAACAAATGTCAAATATTATACCACAGGTTTATGTTTGTTTAGTTTGTTAAAATTGTTTGTTAGTTAAAATTGGCCAAAAAGTTTTGAATGAAATTTGACACAGCCTAAATAGTTTGTCAGTTTTTTTTGTTAGTTTGTCTCACTATCTGCAAGATGGTTTTGTGTGAATTATTTACTGTGAAGTGGACACTCATTGACAGGTCTGGCAGATGAGGGTGTCAGAGGGTCCTGACCCTTCCCCCCTTGGGAAATAAAAATAAAAAAATTTTAGACCTACGTTTTCGGGACCAGTGAGCGGAGTTACTTTTGTTACAATAGGAAAATTAGCAGTCGGAAAACCTCATTTCCAGCCATCTAGAAATCAAAGTTTTCCCGGGGAGGACCGCGACACCCCCTTTCTTTCTGGAGTTCATCGAGTCATGGAAAAAAACAATACGCATGCAACTAAATTTTTTTTTATGTCTACACACATAATAGGCCTATTTACTGTAAGAAGAATGACAAAAATTTACCTGACCATTTTCAAGAAGGGAACCTTGAATTTTGAAGAACTTAAAAGTCATTAAAAAGCACTTTAGAAGTTGGGAAAGCTCATTTCCCGCCACCTATGAATCAAAATTGTCCCAGAGAACCTGGATCCCCTTTCTCCTTGGGGTTATTCAGTCTATGGAATATTTTCAAGAGGAGGAAAACCTTAGTTCAATTAGATTGAACCCTAGCCAGCGAAGAGGGCGTATCCCCATACTTCGGTTTGGGTGCTGGCATGGTATTCAAATTTCACTTCTTTTTATTTTGTGGTTTTGGTTTTCGTTCCATCTTTACACTTGCCTGATAGCGCTTAGAGACTTTTTGTATTTTGCGCTCTATAAATTAATAACCATTAACCATTAACAATTAACATAAAAGTCATTAAAAGACACCATAGAAGTTGGGAAAGCTCATTTCGAACCATCTAAGAATCAAAATTTTCCACGGCTCCAATTTTTTTTGGGACTCATCAATTCATGGAAAAAGAATACATATGCAACTACTATTTTTTATGTATGTATACACACATAATAGGCCTATTTACTGTAATAAGAATGAG